GCTGTTGTTTGGTCACAGAACACATCAAAGGCACCTGAACCATCAGGGTCGATTGTATAAACACCGCTGGTTCTTTTACCGGATTTGTACAGCTCAGCACAGTTCTTGCCTATTGAGAAAAAAGTAACAAAGCTTATTTTCGCTAAATTGTTTCGAGTTAATGGACGTCTACAAACTGGAGAAAATAAAATTGTCGAGCAAAAGAAAAAAAAAACACAACAACAAACAAAGATAACGGATTTCATAGTCGTAGCTGGTAATGAGGGGAACATTGGGGTTTGCGGTATTGCGGTATTCAACAATTTTTCTTGCGGTATTTCGGTAATTGTAACTTCGAATTGCGGTATTGCGGTATTCTCCGAGCCTGCGGGATGCGGTTTTTTAACATTTTGGACGGTATTAAAAATTATCCTCCAAGTTCTTCAATGTTTTCCCATGCCTTTTCCAGTTTCCCATTGGAAAAAGGTAAGTTTTTTGTAGTTAATAATTAGCCAACACGCGAATGGATGTTACCGTATTTTGCTTATTTTGTCTAAATCGAAAATTACAAATTCCTAATTGCTATTTCCGTGTTTTTTGCGCTAAACTTGACACACAGCCTCAGTAGTGGTTTCGGTATGACATTGAATTTTGACCCGGCCGATTGTAGTGCCGCGGTATTTCACGGTGTTGTTTACGATAATGCGGTATTTGCCGAATTTTTTTGCGGTATTGCGGTGTTCAGAACCCCCAAATGTCCCCCTCAGAAATCGTCGAAAATGTTTGCAGAATTCAAGTCTCAACGCAAAAACAGATCTTACCTTTCACAGTCGTCTTGTTTCCTTTGAGGATGTTGATGTCATCTTGCAGTTGAGTGAGTTGTATCTTCATTTCTTGAAGAATCGTTTCAATCTTCTTGTTAGGCCCTGCATAGAAGCTGTTGTAGACGTTATTACAATGCTTTGTGGCTGCAGAACTGACTGGAGTGCTATTAGCGTTATTTCCTGGCTTGGCTAAAGCCTGACTCGCCACAAACAACACCAGCAACAGCAAACTGCAACGAAACCTCGAGGAATCATAAGTCATTGTGCAAATTTGATGAAAGCCCAACATAACCGTAGTTCAATGCACGAACTGGTGAAAAAGCGAATGTGAGTATGTGCGTCATGGAGTTGGGTGCAAGACATTTTTCATGTTTCTAGTGAGTTGGACAGTCTTCTGTTGCAATATTGACCGATCCACCAAAATAAAGACAACTTCTCTTCTATATAAAACAAATACAAGATGTATTCTAACTTCTATTTTTGACACTGTATGAAGGTTTAGGAAATTTCTTCACATCTGTACTCATTATATTGTTTGTATAAAACGCTGATAAACGGTTTTATATTTTCTTCTAGCTTCTCAGCGGTCCGGAATCCTAAATCCTTGAATGCGATTTTCCCATCCGGACCCCGGTTACGGAACGGTCCAAAATTTTCGAACTTTGGCAACTTTTTAAGCTTTTTGTTGCACCGTCAAAACAGCGCAAAATGTAAACATTCAAAACAGAGTCAAACAAAGCAGCAAATAACGCCATTTTCGATTTTTCGCTAACGTGTGCCGCTTTGATTCAAAGCTCAATTCTCAACTTCATTTCAAGCCGTGCGTTTCAGTCTAAGATCAATTTTTGTCACATAACAGACATTTTAGGCCAAATACTAGCTTTGTTTAATGTAATATTTCCCTTCACAGTGTCACATGTAAATCAGCCCAACAAATTCTGCAAACAGTGTCGCTCTTCAGTTGTGCCTGAAACTCACGCGTACGCCAGATTTGAACTGAAAGGAAACATAAAAGTTGCTTTCAAAGCGATACTGTAGAAAAAAAAAAAAGACACGTTATTTGCCGGCCTTGGTCGGTCCGTATACCGACCTCCCAACCGGCAAATAACATATATATCTTTGCTCTGGATAGTGCTTTCTTCAGTTTCAATACAACTCTTTGAAAAGTTTGACAAATGTATTGCAACATGTCCCGTTTAGTCAGGGAAAGATTTTTACTCAAATTGATGTTGCCTTTTCTTGATCCAAACAAAGAAAACCTGAGCACGGATTTTTCTCACGTAAAGAAAACGCCTTTTATACTTTCAAGGATTCGAAAATGGAAAATGTTTACAAAAGATCTAAAGAACCCAGATAATCTGTATTGAAGGGACCTGTACTTAATTCGGCTAGTCTTACTAAAAAGAGGCTATATCCTTGATGCTAATGAGACAGAGTCAGTTTTTGAAACAAAGCTCTGAAATTCCTTTAGTATAAAGCATTGTGAATGTCGGGTTTATGTTTTTGTCCAATTTGTTTCTTTGAGTGTGACAACAACCGTAACCTTTTCACTCTGTAGGACAAATAAATAAAACTGATTCGGAACTAAACGAGAGCAGTGAGTTGTTTCAATCTGACAATTCATGTGTTGATTTCTCCGCTAGCAATTATGTCGAAAGTTTTGGCATGTGGCAAACCTCTTGGGGTTCATTGACATTGTGAATAAAGCAATAAAATTTCCTGAGGAAAGACTAATCTTTCAGTCGATTTCAGGACTGTATCGTCGAACACACAGCCAGTCTATTCTGATTGGAGAAACTGCTTTGTGTCAAGTTGGGGAAGATTTATAATCAACTGACAATTGAAGCGTTTATCAGTATTGTTTGGAACGAGTGCGAATTGGAGTTGAGGTGGACTAATATGTCCGTTCCGATGCAAATATTTTTACCTGAATCAGTAACTTTCCTGAATAACTAATATCGTGGAAACGATATATAACCGGCCAGCAACTTAATGGAGTGAGTTTGAAAGGCAAAATTATGCTTATTTCATTGTCAGTCGCGGTTTATAAACAATGTCGCTATTATTTACCATCCAAATAATACTAAGCTGACAGAAAAAANAGCCCAACAAATTCTGCAAACAGTGTCGCTCTTCAGTTGTGCCTGAAACTCACGCGTACGCCAGATTTGAACTGAAAGGAAACATAAAAGTTGCTTTCAAAGCGATACTGTAGAAAAAAAAAAAAGACACGTTATTTGCCGGCCTTGGTCGGTCCGTATACCGACCTCCCAACCGGCAAATAACATATATATCTTTGCTCTGGATAGTGCTTTCTTCAGTTTCAATACAACTCTTTGAAAAGTTTGACAAATGTATTGCAACATGTCCCGTTTAGTCAGGGAAAGATTTTTACTCAAATTGATGTTGCCTTTTCTTGATCCAAACAAAGAAAACCTGAGCACGGATTTTTCTCACGTAAAGAAAACGCCTTTTATACTTTCAAGGATTCGAAAATGGAAAATGTTTACAAAAGATCTAAAGAACCCAGATAATCTGTATTGAAGGGACCTGTACTTAATTCGGCTAGTCTTACTAAAAAGAGGCTATATCCTTGATGCTAATGAGACAGAGTCAGTTTTTGAAACAAAGCTCTGAAATTCCTTTAGTATAAAGCATTGTGAATGTCGGGTTTATGTTTTTGTCCAATTTGTTTCTTTGAGTGTGACAACAACCGTAACCTTTTCACTCTGTAGGACAAATAAATAAAACTGATTCGGAACTAAACGAGAGCAGTGAGTTGTTTCAATCTGACAATTCATGTGTTGATTTCTCCGCTAGCAATTATGTCGAAAGTTTTGGCATGTGGCAAACCTCTTGGGGTTCATTGACATTGTGAATAAAGCAATAAAATTTCCTGAGGAAAGACTAATCTTTCAGTCGATTTCAGGACTGTATCGTCGAACACACAGCCAGTCTATTCTGATTGGAGAAACTGCTTTGTGTCAAGTTGGGGAAGATTTATAATCAACTGACAATTGAAGCGTTTATCAGTATTGTTTGGAACGAGTGCGAATTGGAGTTGAGGTGGACTAATATGTCCGTTCCGATGCAAATATTTTTACCTGAATCAGTAACTTTCCTGAATAACTAATATCGTGGAAACGATATATAACCGGCCAGCAACTTAATGGAGTGAGTTTGAAAGGCAAAATTATGCTTATTTCATTGTCAGTCGCGGTTTATAAACAATGTCGCTATTATTTACCATCCAAATAATACTAAGCTGACAGAAAAAATAAAATTAAAAAGCAAACTAAAACAACGACGGACTCAACTTGAGCCTTTCGACAAATGTTAAAAAAGAATGTGGACAAAATCCATCCGATATTCCAATAACTTGACCAAGATTTTGAAAAAAAAATTTAATTTTTGTTGCTCCTGAAAAATGTATTTGGGGTGACTTGAGGTATCTATCTGTGAGTTCAAAAAAAATGATGAAACGTCGTTAAGGTTCACTTGGTATACATGTCTCTCACTGTCTCAGACGTGCTGTCAAAATTCCTTAAAAGATAATTCGATGCTGCAACCATAACAGTGATCATGTCATCATATGTGTTGTGATACGAAAAAGAGAAACTAGAAAGCGTTTGAATAATGAATGAATGAATGAATGAATGAATGAATGAATGAATGAAAGTGTCAATAGTATTTAGCTTAAAAAAAAACTAATTGCGAACACTATTTACTCAATGAAATATACCTTAGCTAAAGTTAAACGTAAACAACAAAGTGACAGGTCAACGGTCCCGTCGCCTTTTCGTGTTTGGAATATTTAATCACAACTACAAAATGAATTGTGTCTTTCGCGATGGAAAATGTTGTAGGCTTGACTCAAAGTTATCCAGTTTTAGAATAGAAATATCTATAATCAAACGAGTAGTTTTTCCGCTACAGTGCTCCGATAATCCAAAATGCAAAGACCTATGTTTAAAATAAACCGTTTGAAGTTTTCTTTCACGGTAGCATGTTGGGTGATTAAAAACACGATTCGATTGAGGCTTTGAGCTTCTGTATTTCTTTTTATTTCAAGCTAAAATGTTTTAACATTTAGTGTTTTCTTAAAAGCACGTCTGAGACATGTATACCAAGTGAACCTTAACGACGTTTCATCATTTTTTTTTTAAACTCACAGGAAAATTAATAGCGGCTTTTGAACACAATGGCAACTGAAACACGTTGAATATTTCGAACGCGCCGCTTTTTAATCGTTGAAAAAGAATAAATTCTGGTCTCAATGCACCCTGCGAGCAGAGCCTCTTTTATCGTTTTTTTTTTTGAGCGGATAAAGTATATGTACCGCAAGAAAAGGCTCTGCTTGCAGGGTGGTTTCAGTGAAGTAAAAAATAAACAATAAAATAACTGCCTACCAAGGATACACTGCATGCGTTTGATCCGGTAGTCCTCACAGCGGATATATGATCCTTCAGTAACTGATGACTTAACGCTAACTGAAGCTCTTGAAGCTCGGTGAACAGAAATGACGACAGCTTACTGACTGAATGATATGCTCACTTCGTCTGGTAGCAAGAAGATTTCTATAAATGTGAAGTAAATCGGCGTTAGTTTCCAGTAGCTAGATTTTAAACTTGTGAGTCAGCAAGCTCTCGTTGAGTAAAATGAGCTGCCAAGAAGGCTTGCTTGCGATGTGCTAAATCATTTAGAACTTCATGTACCGCTTGTAGATGGAAGAAGTAGTTAGGCGCTAGTGGGAAGAGTCGAGAAGAGTACTCAAATGCGCCCTAGACTCGCCATGGACCCGAATGATGAATTCGTGCCGTTCTTTCGTGCGGATGAGTCGTAAATTCCATTGGAACGATCCCAGTACTCACTTGAATACACAACCCTTGGATCGAGAACTGAAATAAAAGCAAAATGCAGTAAGTAAAACTGAAATAAGATCGGTTATCGTTTCTTTTACAATTCGACTCACGGCATGTTGTATGTTAATACTGAGTTTTTTTGCTTCATTATCGGATTAAAAATATTCATTCATTTTCTCTTTGAAGAGTCTTATTCTTTCACAATTTTTTAACCAACCTTTCAGTCGCAGACCACGATGAATTTACTTGGATTTTTCTCATTTAACAGAGAGTAAACAAACATCAGTAACACGTAACATGCAAGCTTGCAATATTGTATTGCATTTATTTTACGCTTCATAGAGTGCGACATCGTGGGTATTGAGTAAAATTTAACTGATATATCTTGTAACCGTGTAATTTCAAATAAAGAGAACAATCTTCAAAGAGATCAGATGGAAATATCCTGGCCAAATAAGCAAAATTTAACAATAAAATCCTAACATTAAAATTACCTTTTTCTTAATAACGTTAAAAATTCTACAGCGCAATCAATGTAGCTGTTGACGGTTTAGGCGCGATTTTACAAAATAACTGATTACTTGCTACTCGCTCCACCGTCCTTTGGAACAGATTTCCAGCTTCCACCATGCCTCCCTCAAATTTCCTTACTCGCTTGTGCGCTTGCGTATTACACGTGTCCGCCATCATGGATTTGTCTTCTTGGTTCGAAGATGTGCGGCGGATGAATAAAAGACAGGTAAAATACTTCCTAAAATACGATTTCAGTTTACTGAGCCTGAAGAAGAGTGCTTCTAGTGTTAACAGGCTTATTTTCAACCCACAGCTCTTTTATCAAGGCTTAAACTTTGCTATGATAGTGTCATCTGCTCTCATGATCTGGAAAGGTTTGATGGTAGTCACTGGCAGCGAAAGTCCCATAGTAGTAGTTTTAAGGTAAAAAAAAAGCTGTTTCATTGATCAAACGGATATATTTATATATTTTTTCCAAATGTTGTTACTTATTTCACGTTAATCTTAAGTGCATGTGCTAATGTTTGTGTTTATTTTACAGTGGAAGCATGGAACCCGCTTTTCAGCGTGGAGACCTATTGTTTCTAACCAATTACAAAGAAGACCCGATCCGAGTTGGTGAAATTGTCGTGTTTAAGGTTGAAGGACGGGAGATACCGATTGTTCACCGAGTTTTGAAAATTCACGAAAAGTAAGGACTCAGTTGTTTTGTAAATCCTCGGTGAATTTTGTGCATGTTGTTTTATAGATCTATTTCCCCAAGATGCCACAACATTTCATTTCTGTTCTTTTCGTATCGTATCTCGTGGATACATCTGCTATAAGCTTATTTCTGTCACTGAAATATTGAAATACTGCTGTAAGTGAAAAGTGTTAAAGTATACATTGCCGGAAGAGAAAGGTTATGGCTTAGTTAAGAATCCATGGAATGTTTTGTTGTTGTTGTTGGTTGCTCACTTGAAGAAAGAATATTAATCACCCTCTGGTTCAAAACATTTACTGTTTAAGGTGGCTTACTACAGTTTTGATGTAGTATAAGAGCATAACCTTTACATTGTGTCTAGATACCCGGTAGCAGGGAAGTGTTTTAAAAAAACTAGATACCCAGCAGTCTGAAGTTATCATGGAATTTCCACGGAATAGCTCTTTCAGTTCCTCCTAGAATAGTAGATCTTTGTCTAGAAATGTCAAACAATTATTATTTTGGCTTTGTAATTACAGACAGTTTCAAGCTTGTGCATACTACAAAAACAAAGAGAATTTGTTCACTACAAAACCAAAACATAATTTAGAATCACTTGGCATTTCTGAACGAATATCGAGTGCTCTCAGAAGGTTTCAACTGCAATTTTTGTGGACTTAAGTCTATGAGAATTGACTCTGGAGTCAGAGCTTGAATATTTTTTAAGTGTCAAAACATCAAGTTTTTGTCTGGTTGACTGGGCTCATATGAAGAGGCCCTATGGAACCGGTTCTAGTAGCGCCAGATAATTTTCCTGACACATAAAAATTGTGCTGTTGCTTACATGATATGTGCATGTCTGAATATCAGTCTTTTTTGATATTGTGGGAAAAAAACAGCCCTGGAAATTATACCAGTGTTAGTGTCATATTTATAAGTTTTTTATTTTTTTAATTTGGCTTGTGTGACTATTCTCATGCTTTCCACCTGTGATTTGCATTACTATGCTAAGTGGTTGGCTTAAAAATACTTGTACCACTTTGTTAATTTGTCTTCTCAGAATTGAAACCAAATCCATACAATTATGACTTGCTTGCAAGCTCACTTTTCCTATACTTTTAGGGTCTGAAGTAAACTTTTTTAGGCAGGCACCAACTGGCGACTGAATTTTTTTTTCAGTTGCCAAGTGGAAAAAATTTAATTTGGTTGCAAAAAGTGTCAATAAAATTTTTCTTTCACAGCAAAACCCAAAAATGGGAAGTTTTTTTAAGACATTTCATGTAGCTTACAATTTCATGTAGCATACAATTTAGTTGAAATGGAATTTTCATCAGATAGATAGCTCTCTTAGTTTGGAGACTGAAGATACTATAATTTTCTTCTTACATGCCATCAGCATAAAGCTCTCCAGAAGCCATGCACAAAGCAGGCAGCCATGTTGCTTGAAAGGCAGCATGTTTTGCTACCATGCGCCCATGGTATGGCTGGCAGTTGAAACCACTGAAAACATGGTGGCACTAAATTTTGATTACATTGCATGGATAATAACTGTTTTGGGGATCATTTAACAGTGATCTTACCTTGATTGTTGAACCTCTTACAAGATTTGTTTTTGTTCTCGGCATGCTGAGATAAATGGAAACAGATGGCTCGTTGATCACAGGCATCAGCTTTGTTATTTCAGTTAGCTGCGAAATTTGAATGTTATGTGAAGTGATGAAGATAATTCATCGTTTTTGTTGTTCCAAAGGCATTTTCTAAAGAGTTAATATAAGTTTTATTTTCACTGTATTTTTATTATTTCCCTTACATCATTCTAGGTAAATGACTCCATTGTTTTAACAAAAAAATGCTATTCTCCACGACTTCCATGTTATGCGACTGTTATTTTGGCTTTCCACCATTGTACAAAAAAGCCAACAAAGTGCTTCAAAGGTGGCATGTCTTTGCCTTTTATAGGATTGCTCTGTGTTTAAAACTTGTTACTACTTCTCCCACAGTTCATTATTTACTTGCTCAGTAATCAGCAACTAATAAAAAGACAATCACTTTTAAAAGTTAGTTTTAGTTATCTGGGAATGATCAGTTCTAACACTGATGGGTGACTACGAGAAACGTGAGGTATTTTGTTCAGAAAGTTCAGTCATGGTTATCCTGACCAGACAGTTCTGAGTCAGTGCTCTTTCATTCTGAGACAGAGTCAAAGTTGTCTCCCTTCTCTGGCAGCAACTTCAGCAGGGTTACTGCGTATAGTATTGAAGTTCCTGTTTAGGAAATCTTCTTTTTCTAGGACTTTCATGATAACAAGGCTTCAGGTTTTTAGTACACTCTTGGATATTGAAATTAGTGTGTGTTTCAGGTTTCTACAATTATTATTTTGTGATTATTCTTCATTGTTGTTCTTATAAATGGAAAATCTTAAAAATATTAAAAATGAAATCTTAACAGATGGCTGTAAGAAACCCTATACAGTTGTTGGTGGCAGTAGTCTGCCAGTAACCGGCATTTATTGAAACCCCTGACCCAGTTGAAAACTGCTTTCTATTTTCATTAAACAGCAAACATGAATTTTGTAATCTTCCATTTTAAATTGATTTGTTGTGTTTTTAGAGAGGATGGAGCCATAAAATTTTTAACAAAAGGAGATAACAACTCTGTAGATGATCGAGGTCTGTATGCTCCTGGACAGCTGTGGCTAGAAAGGAAAGATGTTGTTGGGCGAGCTAGAGGGTAAGATTTATTCACTAATGGAAATGAATGGGGATGGGAATTAACAAGTTCTTTTATGCACCCAGGCAAGGTCTAACCTTCAGTGTGGTAGAGATTACAATAACAATTATTGTAAATGTTTTGATCAAACACAAAAGACCGTGTTTGACCACAACTCCAAACACCAAGAAGGGAGGGTACTTGTAGGTAGGGTAGATAAAGTCTGTATACGATCCAAGTGGCTCATCAGGCCAGAGCTTATCTTGGTTCCTGTAGCATGACGGGACTAGGAATAGTTCTACTCCCTGCTGGATGGGATGCTGGTCCATGTCACAATGTAGGCAATAAATCAAAACTTTCATTGTATGTTGCTTTGTTAAACACGGAAAGCAACGTAACATCTTACCCTGAGTAACTGCAGGTTGGTTCATGGGGTTTTCAATTTAATACCTTGGTTGTTCTATGACTGAGAAAATTACTTCATTGGGATTGGCTGACAACAGGCCAATATATGGTTGATTTTAAATTTGCAGGGCTGTGCAAATTAATACAGGTGCATTCATAATTTTCTCAGTCATATGATAAATGAATAGTCATATGAAAGCTCATTGACAAACAATATTTATTAAGGATTTACACAAATCATATTATTTCAAACTGCAATCACCTAAACTTCAGAAAATTTTAAAATATCACTCGTAGTCTAGATCCTCAATTGCATTCACTTTCTTACAATTGCCTATTATATTAAATTGTCTTTGATACAAAGTATATGAAGTAATTTTATTCTCCTTTCACAGTTTTGTTCCTTATGTTGGCATGGTTACAATTCTTATGAATGATTATCCTAAGTTTAAGGTGAGTGAATTTCAGTTTTGTATTCCTATGTTGAACTTCAGCCTGCAGTAAGTCTGTAAATTATTAGAATGGTGCTTGCACTGTACCCCAAAAGGTTCATGAAATATTAGGTTTAATAACACTTTTCTCCTGAAATTTAGTTATGAACCAATTTTATAATGGAATATTTGTCTTCTATTCTAGGCTGATTCCTAGTTTTTACTTAATGAGTAGGTAAATTTCTTTTGTTGCAATCAGAAAGTTCTTTGGTCATAACTGAGGCATATACTTTCATATATCAAGAATTTCAGAGTTTTTTATTTCCAGGAAACTTGCAACTTGCAAGACAAGGTTGACACGTGTATGTTATGGTTTGAATACTCTTTCTCTTTGGGTGATTGGGTGGTTTATTTTGATTTCATGACTCCTGTTAAATCCTGATAATACAACAATGTAAGCTCCCCATGAAACTGGCCCTTTGAAAATAGCCACCAAATTCATCCAATAGTAAACAATCCCAACTTTAAGCCCATGAACGTGATATTTTTAATTTTACCTCTTAGAGAAAAATAAAATGTTTCGTGATTATAAACTGTTACTGTTGATTATAAGGCATTATAGTTTACCACTAAATTTGCTCCGATTTGTATTGGTTTAAATTGATGACGTGACACAATAGTGTTCATTGGTGGAGAGACACTATCTGCCCATATTGCCCATCTGAGGAAAATGCCCAGATGGATAGTACTCGTCCATGAAGATTTTTCTGTAAACAAAGGGGTTAAAAGGAAAAAAAAATTGAATTTAGTGCATTCGGTGGGTTTTTGTCTGTTTCTTTTTTTTTTTTCAAATTGTACATTTGACTTTCAGGTCTTTCATCTAAAAAAGTTGAAAATAATTTGTTATTATTGTTTGTTATTGTTTCAGAACTGAAAATTATTCAATATGGTTTAATTCAGAACTTGAGATAATTCATTATGATATTTGAACTAGCACACAGAAGAAAATTTAGTGGTGAACAATCAATGAAATAGAGTGTTTATGTCTCAGAACTAAAATTTCAATCATTTGATTCCCCCTCAAAGTGAAAACCTACAATTATGGAACTTTGCAACTGTAATGAAAAGAGTATTTCTTTGTCTTTTTTATTTCAGTATGCCATTCTTGCTGCACTGGGAGCGTTTGTTCTTTTACACAGAGAATGACGAAGGAGATTGTTAATACCTGTTTGTGCAACACCCTAAGACCAGAAAACTAGGATGTATCTTACACCTTTTACAGAGTTAAAATGTTAAAATTGAGAGCATTGTTAGACAGTCTAAAAAAACTGTCGATAGGCTAACAGTGTTAAAGTTTCTAGTATGTGTGACACTATTTCCGTTGTGTGATGCAGTCACATAAACAGCATGTCTGTATATTATGGAGAATTTACACAAAATAAAACCTTTCAGTTATTTTGAAAACTGCTGCAAAACGTAAGAGATGAACACGATCTTAAATATAGTTTTCAAGGTAGCTGTAGCGAGAAAAATTCAATAAAAGAACACACCCAAATAAATGTGACTCCTAAGTGTGTAATACTTAGCTCTTATTAACCGAGGAGGAGGTCTGTGTGGGAGAATCTTGACTGAGGTTGTGAGTACAGACCGAACGCAGTGAGGTCTGTACACACGACCGAGGTCAAGATTCTCCCATACAGACCGACTGAGCTCAGTTAATAAGATGTTTATTATATGGCAAACAAGAAACAAATAATTTGTTTAATGTCAATGGTTTGTACTAGCTGACATTTTGCTTGCGAATGGTGATGAGCTGAATTTCAATCTGCCAAAGTTTGCTTGTCCTCTTTACTTTTCTTTTTCATCAGGCTTTTTGTCATTTCCACTAATATTTGTAGAAGAAAATAGTCAATATTCGTATTTTAGGTTGACACTTTTTCACCCATAATGTAACCGGTCTAGATGGGAAAATCTAGACCACAGTCAATATCGATTTAAGCCAACCAAATTCGAGAATTCTGTAGTTTCCAGTCCTTGCGAGACAGCCATATAATAAAATCTGTTAATAATCATATACTTTAGTTGTCGCCATTTTTATTGCCTTTTGCTGAAATTTAGGCAATTAATACTCATCATTTCTTTTGAGAAACTGTGCCTTACCAGGGCAGGAAGAAACCCAGGTCTGACAACCCGGGGATAGAAAATTTTGCTCTTGGGCAAGTGAAAATAGAAGTTTTGTGGTCCAGTGGGCAAGTGAAAATAGCCTCTGTAGTCTAGTAGTTTGTGATAATTTCCAATAAAAAAGATATAACCTAAGACTACAAGATGAGCAAAACAATGAGTTGAAAGCATGGATTAATTTAAAATCCAAGCACACTTGATTATGGTAAATGATGTAGTTGATAAGGCATGAACATTGCATGCCTATTGGGCAAGTGATATTTTAGTAGGGGCAACCGAAAACTGAAATGTACTGGCCCACTGGTCAACTGGATTTCAAACTTTTTTTCCCTTCCACGCTCACCAAGTTACTTTTTGCTTCTGTTTCAAAGTGAATTCTGGTGCCTATCTGTGTGGAATGTAGGTTTGAGTATAGATTTTTAATAAGACTGGAACTAGCTTGCAATGGAGGCTTATACGGGGGGAATAAAAAGAGATACTTAGTGAATAACATTTGCATTTGAAAGACTCCCTGCAGTAATCCAATACTGAGAATACGAATATGGTCTATTGTGCCTCAGTTTCAGAGAAAAAAAAAAAAAAAAAAAATTAAAAATCACAGCCTGGAAATGGGTTAAGGGCTAACAAAAGTGAGTAATACACTATGACTAAAGGTGCCCGGGACTAACCCCACAAAGTCAACATGCAATTTCTCTTCCAGTCAGAAGTGATGTGGATCACGAATAAAGAAAAACTGGTCAAAAAGTTGAATTTATCGTGAGGTTTAATTAATTTTCCATTAAATGTTTGGGGACCACAACCTGTGACAGAAAAGGGTTAGGACAGGATACTTTTGTCTTCCTCTCCTGCCTTATTCAGAGTCAGGGTCTACCAACAGACTACAAACACTTTTAAGATCGTTGAGCAAAACGTCAACATTGATTTGGAGCACACGGGGGAACTGCTAAACTTCCCAACTATTTCTGTCATCGGTTCTAGGTAGAAGTGAGATGCAAAACAAGAAATATAAATCACACGCTCTTCAGAATAAGGCCGATCCTCAGTCACTGCACGATTTTCCGCTCTTACCCCAAGTTTAGAATACTAATAAATTAAGATCCCAAGGGCAATTTTCAAAAACCCGCTCTATTAAAGCATTTATAATCCTTACTTTTAAGAAAAAGCAGACATAGCATGGGACACGTGAAATCAGTTGCCTTGGCCTTGTAAGTCGTGAATGAGTTGGTGCGAGCGCGAAAAACGAGCGCGAAGCGCTTGAGCGTAGCGTGAGTCCGCGCGCGCTCTTGCGCGCCCTTAGTCTAGCTCTTCTATCACTCCCAGGTTCACTTTTTAACCTTAGCTTGAAAAGACTAATCTCGCTACACAATACCTTCAACAGCTCGGGAAAAATAAACACCACACATAACCGAATTAAAATTTCTTTTGACTTTATTAAAAACCAGTAACAGAGTTGGAAGCCGCTAATTGGGTCTTTATATGTCAAGAAAAAAGAACTACCCAGTGAGATATTTCGAACTCTTTTAGTGAAGCAGTCTGATTTCAACAGTCAACACTGTAGATGTATTTATTGTTGGTAGAATGAGCTTCATCCCTAACTTAGTCAAAGAAAGAACGAGATCAAACAGAAGAGAAAAGAAGAGAATAGAAGTGAGAACCTGACTGAGAATAAAACGGGAATCCCATTTAGACCGCCATCCAAATATGGAATTCGACGCCATATTAGGAAGCGAGGTTTCTTGTGCATGTTCCGGGAAGCGTGGTAACCTCGAGGAGTGTGATTTATTTTCTCCGCTTTTCTGTTGTTTTCTTTGCGTTTTAAAAGTCGGGCGACGTTCAGCAGTTACGAAAACCAAGCATCAACGTAACTCGTCCGACTTTAAAGTCTCTCACGGCGAAAACTTCGACGTTTCGAGTGGTAAACGTGGCGTGTACCTCCATTGAAACCGGACGATCATGGAAACCGCAGATAGTGACCTAACCGGAGAAAAACAAAGCGAAGGACGGTAAGTTGTTCCCTGTTACGAGCCATTTTGTCCCGCTAATGAATGATAAAATTCTAAAAATGGACTTAATCGTTGACAGTGAATTGCTACTTTTGAAATTTTGTTGTAAATGGTAGCTTATATCGGATCATGTCTCATTTAATACGAACGGACAGTCGGTCTCATTACTATTTCATAGCCAGTAACAAAATCCTACCGCGCAAAACTGGAATGAAATATTAATCTTTTTAATTTTATAGTCTACAGACTTTTCAGCACTGCAGTTCTTTAAGGGGCTCATGCTTCCTGGGTTTATAGGAAAAAAAATTATATTGTGATGTTTAGTCAAAAAATCAAATATTCGCGTATCGGAATTCGTTTAATTTTTGAACATTTTGTTAACTTACTGTACGTAGTGAACTTCTGACTCATGAGAATTACTGTAATACTGCAAAGAAATTTATTCTTTTAACTTCAAAAGATGATTCCATATTTTTACTATTTTTAAACCAGGTGTAATCAAATGATAGACATCTATACGATCAGCAAAATCGATATTAATCGATATCTTCACCCCAAACATAAATCAAACTATGCCCTAATGTTAAAATCACTTTCAAATAGTCATGTATCACTATTTGCAGGTGGAATTCCTGTTTTATGACAACAAAAAACACCGAAAACTTCTTCTTTTGCATGCATTTTCCCTTGTCGCAATTTTATAGGTAGCCAAAGTGATTACTACTTGACAGTAGTAATTTTAAAACTACAGTGGAAGCTCTCTAACAGAAACTCCTGTAAGCGGACAGCTCCATGTACGGCCGCTTTCACAAAATTCTGTTTTAACTCCCACTCCTATACAAACTCTGTATTTATTCATTCCCGTAAATGGCCGCGGATACTTTGAGGGCTTATGATTTGGACTTTTCCTTTGTTTGCTCAGGTAAGCAGACACCAGATAAAAAATCCCATGTAAATAGCATACTATTGATGTTACTACTGCAATTAGAATCTGTTTATGGCATATTACAGCAGTTATCTGTGTGCAGTTTTCGTCATTATCAAAAACAAAAAAAAATATTTGAAACAGTGGTATTTTTTCACCCCCAATGTAAATTGCTAGCTGGAAAGCTCCCGTAAGTAGCCATATACATGCACACCTTACAACTCTAGTGGCTGCTTACCAGAACCATTCTCGCAAGTGGCCAGCTCCAGTTACGGACACCTTTTTCATGTCCCGAAGGCGTCCGCTTACGAGAGCTTCTGCTTTATTGTAAAATAACGAATTGTTTCCGATACCAGTTGATAACAACCGCTAACAATCGATAACACTGCAGTTGTGCAGAATGTTCTGTTCTTTTTGCTGATGATGATCTACTAGTTTGAGCTTGTAGTCAAACCTACACTGACAGCCATCTCTTTACAATAACTAGGATTTCTTTACTTAGTTGGGTTGATCCATAGTTGAAGGGGTACATTTAAAGAGACCCTAAGTGACATCTGATAGACTTCAAGATTCTCCCAGCAAATTGTTTTTCAATTCCCTCCATGGAAAAAAAGGAGAATTTGACATGAGATCAAGTGTAACTGAAGGTTCCACACTCCCATACTTTTTATTGAAATCTCTTTAGAGATGCCACTTCTCTACAACAGCCAGCTAATTCTGCCCCTCAGCAGCTTGCAAAGAAAGTCTTTCCCAATAACCAGAGGCTGATGGATTTTAGAAGTCAGACTAGTGGAATCTGTTCTCAGGAAACTGTTTAACGAAATTCAAATTATAGAAATACTGATAAGAGATGAAATTTCTTGAGGCTAGTGAGAATGATTGTTGAGCTAGTATGTCATAGTTACAGTTTGCCCAAAGGGTAAGCAGGAAAATTGCTTTGTTTTGCACCCTGCTTAGTGGTCATTGTATAGTCGGACTAAGCTTTATTTTGTTTGCAGAAAACATGCTTCCAGTAGACAGTTAGTTTTAAAAAGGCTTAGATTTGGATCCTCTGTGGTCCTGTTTTAATTTAATTTTTTTTGTCACTTTTTTGGTTTGAATACAGACTAAGGTCTTGTTTACCAGAACTGATAAGTTCAAGTATTGTTCGTTGTATGTGTTATTGTTACGTAACTAATATGCTGACCATTTCTATGGCAGGTCATCAGTTCAAGAGAGATCATCAGGTAATTATTCCTTCCACTTTATCAGTGTTTAATGACACAATTTATAATAAGAACTAAATACATGTATATCTTGTGGGAGGTGTGGTGGCCTCATGGTTAGTGCGCTTGTCTCCGGATCGAGCGGTCTGGGTTCGAGCCCTGGCTGGGGACATTGTGTTGTGTTCTTGGGAAAGACACTTTACTCTCACAGTGCCTCTCTCCACCCAGGTGTATAAATGGGTACCGGCGAACTTAATGCTGGGGGGTAACCCTGCGATGGAGTAGCATCCCATCCAGGGGGGAGTAGAAATACTCCTAGTCGCTTCATGCTACAGAAACCAGGATAAGCTCCGGCCTGATGGGCCACTTGGCTCGCATGCCAGACTTTACCTTTACCTTACTTGTACATCTTAGCAAATTGTTTTGCCTACCTGTATGAACATGATTTTACATAAATGTAGCCTCTTGTTACCAATTTGAATAAAACAACTTCTTATTTATTATAAAGGTCAGTTGTACTACTTTTGTTTCTTCTGTATTGTGAATTGGAATGGTTGAGAAAAAGGTGTTTAGAGTTTACCCTAGAAGTGGGTTGCAAACTAAGGTGAACTAGCTTCTAGCAGGCAGTAAAATTAGTCAGTCTCTTATCTCTTATTGAAAACCACAGAGTGAAATTTCTTTGGTTGCTCATAGCGGTACAAGAACAGGCATAAATCTCCCCACAGTTCAGATAATTGATAAGGGCATGGATGTACATACAGTGATTAAAGGGATAGATGATTAAATGATTATCTCTTGCAGCTGAGAACAGTCCATCTGCTAGTCCAAATAAACCTGACCCGAGGCCTGAGCAGAGAAAGGTAAAAGAGAATCACATAAGTTGAGTACAATCAATCAATTGAGCCTCTTGTAAGCATAGGTGTGGTACAGCCATGAGCACTGCTCAGCCGGATGAAGGCATACATCCATGAGGCCAGAAAAGGTGTCCTGTTCAGAGTTTTCTGCTAATTGGAGGTTAAAATTTTATGTAATGTTGAGGAGGACATGTATGTGGCTGGGACCATAACAAGACATGATGCTGAAAATGACCTCTTATGAGAAGTGCCCCTCTGTATGGAGCCCTCAAGTATCCTTTCTTATTTATTAGACTAAAGATGCAAAATTCTATGAGCTGATAAATGTAGTTTGCAAGGGACAAAACACTTGTTGTTAGCATGTTGATTTTTTATTTCTTTGATTGCTTTTCTTTTGAAGACGTTATTTACAAAAGGAAAGAAACGGAAAAAGCCTGACAAGGATTTGAATGCACCTAAAGCCCCTCTCACAGGATATGTGAGATTTCTGAATGAACACCGCGAAAAAGTGCGAGCTGAAAATCAAGATCTTCCATTTCATGAGGTCACCAAAATCCTCGGAAATATGTGGAGCCAGCTACCATCTCAGCAAAAGCAGGTACTGATAGCAGCTATAGCCAGCAGTTTTTGATAATTTTTAATATTATCAAAAGGACTCTACTACATTATACTTGCTAACTTGTTCTGACACTGTAAAATAGGGTCAATTTTTGTCTTCATAGTACCCAAATTTCCAAGTACAGTCTATGTACAGTATTAATTCAAAATTGTCTCTAAGATTGATAGAAGTCAGAATTTTGATCCTGACTATGCTTGTTATAAATGTACACAATGTACACTGTATGTATTTTTTTTTATTGCAAAATGAGTTCAGGTATGGATAGCCCATTCAAAGCTGTATTATTGAATTGAAGTACATGGTAACAGATTATTATTAATATCTATATTGCTTTGAGGTCCTTTTATCTTATAAACAAAAACTCTCCTACTTTTTATCGATGCAGGGTTATCTTGAAGAAGCAGAAAAAGATAAAGAACGATACATGAAAGAGCTGGAACAGTATCAACAGACTGATGCTTACAAGAACTTTGTGGCCAGACAAAAGGCAATGAAAAAAGGTGAAGCTAATAATACAGTGGTGAGTTGTTCTATCATAATAGACTGCAGCGGTAGATCAGAGGGTGTCCTAGCTCTGTTATAAGTAAGTTTGTTTTAGCAAGAAACTGATTTTTTTGTTATGTGTTTGAGGACCTACACCCTGAATAGCCGTCTCTGGTGGCTTTGCATCAGTGTAAAATGTGAATTGATTTTCTGTTGAACCATAGATTTTACCATACGCTTTAAAATTTAATTTGTGTATTTGAATTTTAGCGATTGCATTTTGGATTGTTGGTCGCTGACATTGTTTTGGTTTGTTCTAGGTGATGGAGAGGGTGTCAATGGTACAGAGGTAAATACATGTAAATATATTTTACACAGCAACGACAACAACATTAATTTATTTTATTTGTTCCTCTTGACAAAAAGGATAAGAAAAATTGCAGTATCTGTTGACACTATTATTATGCACTTATTATAGGATTAAGATGAAAAGTTCATTGCTGTTATTTTAATTGGTTAATCAGCCTTGCTTTAATCAAACTGAGAAGAATTCACTTGGAGTCCATGACAAGCAATAATATTGTCTACATGTACATGTAGGCCTGAGTCAACTTGGTGTCATTGTATTGTTTTCCATTAGGGTGGAAATGATGACTTGTTTTGCAGTGCATGTAACTTGTACTTTAACTCGCCTCACAACAAACGTGAACACATGTCTGGGAAGAAGCACTTCGCAGTCATTTCCTCACAGATGGACAGATCGGAGAAACACATTGAAAAAACAAATGGTAAAGATGTACCAGAACCGAAAAAAGTGGAAGAGTCTTCTGAGTCACAATCACTCCAGGTTCCTTTGGATGGTGATATTCCAATTTTTACAGAAGAGTTCTTAAACTACAATAAAGGTAATTATGTCGTGACTTGCTTAACAAACATGAACTAGAAGAGACTGCAAAACTTTCACTCACGTGATGTTTCTTTTGGCTATTAATTATTTGGGAAAACTGCATGGTTGTTTGTTAATGGCAGGACAATCTGTTGGTAATCAGCTGAAATTTCATAAGCGATCATTGGACCCAACCAAATGTGAACAAAACAAGACCCTTGCAAACTAATTGAGAGAATAAGCACAGCATTGTACTGTGTTTTAGAACACAACAAAAACATACACAGTGTATCAGAAAAGGTTCATCAACATCACCATCTTTATTCACTTGTTAATGGATTATAGTTTTTTTTTTGCAATTCAATTTTATTTACAGGATTTACACTCACACTACTTACAGCACCTCTGTTTATACTTACAAATATACTTGCACTATACTTACTTAAAACTTACACTACTTATACTTACACTACTTCCAATACATTTATTACAATACAATAACACTAATTAATATATAGCATGTTTACTTACAATGCTTTTTTTTTATTGTTTCTACATTAATTGTTCGAACCCTTACTAAAAAACAAGGAAAATTACTTTTTTTGTCCCTTACACTGCTTACAACACTATATATTCTACTTACATAGGTACTTACACTATACTTACTTTAATGGATTATAGTTGCATCATGAGTCCAGTAGTGTTATTACTTTTATTTGTCAATTGTTTGAACATTTTCCATAATCGATTATTGCATTGCTTAAGGTTTTCGATCAGTAATCTATTATAATTGATGATTGGCACACCACTATTGTTAACTGTGGTCTAAGGTTAGCCAGGTTTAAAGCTCGAAACACCACTCAAGCAATTTTGTTGAAAAGTGTTGGCTCAGTTAAATAATTTGCAATAATTGCGTGTTGTTCAAAGTGAACCAATCATCAGTGTCATAAAGCAGGGCTGTCATTAAGGGCCGTAACCCATAACACTTGTTACAGCTTAGTATGCTTGATTTTCCCTTTATTCTACGGGTGAAATTGCCTGTTGTGAAAAGAATTCATCCACAAAGTAACAAGTTTGCTACAGGTATGGAGAACAAGGGTACAGGCGACTCAAAACTTAATGACAGCCCTGATAAAGTACATGTAGAAAATGATTTCAGATCCACTTGAGGCAAAGCTAGAGGCTAGAAAATAACAATCAGTGTACCATTGCCACAGTTTGTGTCTTACATTCATGACTATTGAATCAGTATCTTCTTAAACCTTCTTCAGGGTCTTTAACTCTGTATTCCAATTTTATTTCAGCTCGTGAAAATGAACTGAGGAAGCTGAGGAAAGTGAACACAGAGTTTGAGGAACAGAATGCCATTCTTAGCAAGCACATAGAAAATATGAAGAAAGGTATTGACAAACTGGAAGGAGAAAGGAAAGAACAACAGAGTGAAATTAATGCTCTACAAAGACACCTGGCCAAGTTGCGGCAAGTCATCTCCCGTAGCTTTATTGATATTCAAATTCCAGGAGAAGCAGATCCAATAACCTTGGAATCAGTAGATTCATTTGTAGCAAAACTGCAGCAATACATTCAAGAAAATAGTAAAGAAAACTTGGAGTTAACATCTAAAATAAAAGACATCATCGCCTCCCTGGACTACCCGAAGTAAGTGAAAAGTTGTTATTATTAGAGAGCATTAGTATGAAGCTTTCTGAGATAGGAAACAGAAGCTGGTAGAGTGTAACCACAGCTTTTAGTGAACCTATTATATCATTGAATGATCCTTGTAGATTTAGAGATATTGACAGAAGTTTCTAAAGTGCATAATAAAACCAACATTCATGTACATTGTACCTGGTTTTAAAGGAGACAATTTTTTCTCTGTCAGTTGTTTTGAACATCCTCTCAGATACCATGCCTGTGACTGGTTATTAAGGATTGATTATTTCCTCTTCTACCACAGCGTCCATTGTCAATTGCAGCAATGGAATTGGATCTGAAAGGGTTAAACTTGTAATGGACATGTGGGGAAAAGTCCCTGCACTCCCAGAATAACTTTCACAACTTCTTTTAGTAATTTTTGTAAGGTGAAAAAAAATCAGAGTGATCAAAATGTTTGTTCTCCATACTGATTGCATTACTTTTCTATAGAATGATGTTAGCTGTGAGAATTAGTTGCTTTATCAGGATTACCTCAAGAGTAATCAATATTGACACCCTCGAGGTCGAAAGGCTTTGAATAAAGCTAGCAAGTGTATAATGCCTGCTTGCTTTTGTGTTTTTGTCATTCATGAGTAAAAGGTCTATAAGAAGCAGTATGACCAATGCCAATATTTTGTTTATTTTCAGTTGCTTAAAAGAGCTGAACAGCTGATGGTGCTGTGCTGTGTACATACCACACTTACATTATCTGCAGTTACTTGCTTGGTTCACTTTTTTCCAATAATATTGTTGTGCAAGTGAAGAGTAGCTTCAGTATGCTAAGAAATGTTATACATATCGTCTTGCGATGTGGGATGGGAGTTCTACTATTTACAAATCGTCTCACTCGTGAAACTTGTGAAACAGAAACCAAGAGCCAGTTACAAAGCTTACTTCTCAGTTGTTTTTTGTGTAGGAAGTTTTGTTTGGAGAGTTTTTTCCCGGGAGATGAATTTAGCTGGAGAGAATGAACATTGTCAACTATTTTTATCATTAGTGTACATGTTCTAGGTCACACAGTTTTATTTTGTTGAACAATACACAAGTGACGAGAAGTCAACTGAATGGAAGCCATCATCACCACTCAGATAATGTGCAGTAAAGGCATCCACGGCTGAATCTCAATTGATACACTTGATTGACCCTCAATTAAGACTCGATTGACATCGTGATCAACATTTGATCAAAATCTCGATCTCGGTAGTGGTTGAGGGTGTTGATCGACACTCGACCATGGATGCCTTTAGTACACCTGATTCTAGTGTCCTTACAAAAAAGTGGTTATTGTTCTAGTTAGAGTTGGTAACGATTTATTATGTCGTTTACTCAAAGGATAATCTCCTGTGCATGTTGACAGAGCTCTTTAGAAACTGAATTAGTTTTTCACTGCAAATGTACATTTTCACAAATAAAAATGTTAGGAAAAATTTGTATGAGAATTTATTGCAAGTGAAAAAGAAATGCTTGTAAAAATGTCAAAGCTAATTGGTTTTGTATGATGAAAGTTCTTGTCAAAATATTTGCATTGTATTGAGTTTGTAAATACTTAGTTATTGAGGAATTACCTGTACTATCTTTAGAGACATTCTATTAATTTTCATAATGGTAACAATAATTGTGCTATTTGAAACATTGTATCTATTTATTGGTTGTGGTCTCCAGTTTTCTAGAAAAGAATGCAGAATTTGTAGTATTGATAGTTGCAGAGTTTCATATATTTTTTTCTCCTTGCTCTTTATCTAGTAAAAAAGCAGTTGAGACACTTGAAAAATTATACTTAGCGATATTTTATCCCCATATTCTATTTCAAATGCCTCTCATGGTAAATCTCTACTACCCTCAGCCTCCCAATTCAATGGTGTTCGGGGGAGAGGAAAAATGATTTTTTCTAAGACGCATGAAAAAATAATTTTACGTTGAAGTGTCTCAACATCTCTGCCGCCCATGGTAGGACCGAAATCTCTGGCTCAGATCGAGATCGCTCGCTGTCACTCCTTGAAAATCCGGCATTCTGGAGTTATATTTTGTAATTGGTTTGTTGCCATGACTGGCACCCAGCCACTGTCTGTCCCAGCAGTCGTTTCCCTGTCCAAGAACGAGGCTTGTCTCGAGCCCCAAACTTTACGTACACGGGCATTCTTTGAAAATCAATCGCTCTATTGCTATTGGCTCCATTTTGAGACACTGAGTACATTTTGTTGTCACTTCCAAGTCATATTGAAGCAGTCCCTTTTTATGGCGCTAAGATGTCCATTCTATGTAAATGTTTTGAATGTCACTTTCCCTATGGTTGCAATATTTGGAAGGGGGCGCTTTCTGAAATAAAGGCACTTCTTAAATGAAATTGCACTCATTGGAAGGAGTGTATTAAAACGAATCATTGCAATAATACTCAGTACGGTCGCGGCTCAAACTTAAGGTCGGCACACACGAAGAGACTAATCCCTTCGATGCGATTACTCCCTGCAACTAGTCCCCTGAAGAGTTTACACGAAGGGTCCGAAGGGACTGGACGCGGGAACTTGTCCCACGAACAGTTCACACGAAGCGTTTTGAGGAACAAGTCGCAGGGACTTGTCCCAAAAATTCAAACTAGTTTGAATTCGTGGGGTCGTCCGGGTTCGAGCCCTGGCCGGGGACATTGTGTTGTGTTCTTGGGCAAGACACTTTACTCTCACAGTGCCTCTCTCCACCCAGGTGTATAAATGGGTACCGGCGAACTTAATGCTGGGGGTAACCCTGCGATGGAGTAGCATCCCTTCACGATACCACTCCACAGCATTATCTGTCAAGAAGTATATCTGCCGAAGAGGTTTACGACAGCAAGGTACCCTCCTAAGTAGAGAAATAAATGATGATCAATCCAAGGGGTGCAGATGTGCTTTGACTTTCCTAAGCCCTTTTAAGTTATTTCTAGATCACTTCCGGTTTCGGAAATCCCAGAAGGGCCCAGGAATAGAAACCCTCACGGCACTGTCCAGACTGGGTACCACGTCTGAAAATATCTCGAGAAAGATGTAACCATGGGAATAAGGCCTATATGGGGTATTAACTCTCTTCCCCTTTATCCTCGGGTTATTAATAATGGTAATAGGACTGAGTGGAGTCCAATTCGGTCTGTAATCATACGAGTGATTAACAAAATCGGACGACCGCGGAGCGGGAGTCCAATTTGTTAATCACGAGTATGATTACAGACTGAATTGAACCACACGATGTCCTGATACCAATTAATCAAAACTATGACAAAATTCGAGAAACGAACAAACCATCGATTGATCGCTGAAAGATTAAACGTCGCTATAAATGCTGAAAAACACAACAGTTTACTCAACAAAGTGCACCACAACAGCACGCGCAAAATGACAGCTACTGTCCAATTACAAGAATGACACGTACACTGTCCAATTAATGCTCAAATCGGGCTGCTGATAGCCAATCACGTTCGAGAATTTTGCTATACTTTTGATTAAGATATATGGGTTATTGACCAAGTGTGAGGTCAAGATGGCTGGATATTGGCCAAGTTCATTTTTTGCGAGTTNCA